ACATAACTAACCTGAAATCGAGACAGATCAAGATGGTGTTCGACATGATGGACTGGATGTGTGTGGGGGAGATTGGCTTTGACCAGTTCTACGTGTTGATTTGTATACTGCTGTCACACCAGGCAAGTATGCGGGGAGGGGCTGGGCCAGGGGCAGGGTGCTTCCAGAGCCACCAGCTTGTGACAGCTAGCACCAGTTGGAAGGCACCAAGATTTGTTTTTTCCCTTCCACTGCAGTACAAGCAAGAGGAAGAAAAAAGAATGGGAGAGGTTTATCTCTGAATAAGCACTCATAACCTGGTCATCTTTGCGCAGCCCACCCCTGTGGCAGCCCCTGCTGGCTGCGGCCCCCCCTTGTAAAGAACTATCGTCCCTGGGCACCACCCTTCACCACCTGCCCACTCCGTGTCAGGAAGAATCAGTTATCAAAAGTGCCTCATTTCCTGCAGTTCCTCTGCTCACTTTTCTGCAGAGAACTGGTGAGAGATGAGCAATGTCCCTTTCGGGATCCCCCCCCCCCCCCCAGGGACTACTTACCTGACTGGAGCCCTGGAGAAAGTGACCCGTGTGCCGCTTTAGTATGTTCACAGGGCCGGCACTCTAGGTGAGGTGGTGCGTGAATGCGGGCAAAAGGGGCTTTGTCTGGCAAAGCTGACTGAAACAGGGAGTGTGGAGGTATACAGGTCCTCCTTGAATGCAAACGCTCAGCTAGGCCAGGATGTTGCCACCGAATGCTCTTACCTGAGCTTCTGGAACTTCGCTTTTGCTTTTGGCTCTCTAGGGAACAGGCTAGTAACAGTACAACTCTTGGGAGCACAAGTTTTTAGGGCAACACCAAAATTCTTCCCTACTTTACAAATTTCTCAGAACCACTTGGAAGAACAGTTCATGTATCGTCATTCCCGGCCTGTTTTTGACCTGCTTGACTTGGATGGGGAACTGAATATTGATGCAACTAACTTCCACATGTATAGATTTCTATTCAGTCTCAAGAAACAGGACCTCAGAGATCTCTTCCACAACTTTGACATCACAGGTGACCGTGTAAGTGCAGACCCCACAGGTGCAGCACAACCCTTTTCTTTGCCAGTCCTAGGGTGTGGACTCAGGGCCTAACTCTGTCCCTGAGCCTCTCTATGCTCAAGGCTAGCACTCTACCACTGGAGCCACAGCACACTTCTGCTTTTTCTGCTTATGTGGTGCTGAGGAATCAAACTCAGGGCTTCATGCATGCTAGGCAAGCACTCTATCTCTAAGCCACAATCCCAGCCAAGAGCTCCTCTTTCTAAGAAAGCAATGTCTTACAACAGTAGAGATGGGCAAAGAAGGTATGGAAAAACTTCCCCAATTAATCATATTACATAGTGTTGGGATCAGAAAGCAAAAACAAACTGAAGAGATTCTTGGGTCCTTGGAGATAAAGGGTTGACTTATGTAATGATGTAATGTGCTACATCATGCAATCTGACCACAAAAGCATAGAAACTTGTTTGGGGAAGAGTTTATAGGTCTGGATAATTAGAAAGTTCTATAATGGAAACGAGCAAAAAGAAAGGACTCTATGGGGAGGGATGGCAGGAAGTATATGTCGGAGGAGCAAGTGGGAGCTCAAGTTGAATAGGATAGCTCCCACTGGGGGGGGGGGGGGGAGGGGGGGGGGAGAAACAGGGCTGCCAACCAGCAACATCTAGATGTGATGCCAGAGACTTAAGACAGTGATCTTTATTCCTAAAGTTCTGGGGCTCAAGACTTTACAACTACATAATAATTGTGTTCTAATTCTGAGCCTTTTAAACTCTCCAAGTTTCTAAGACATCCTACTGTCTGCTACAAAATGTCAGATTTTCCCTGAAATCATTTTTTCTTTTTTCCCAACAAAAGCGTCTTAATTTCAAGGAATTTAAGTTGTATACTATTTTCTCCACTGACAAGTCCCGGGAGACACAGAAAGTAGTGGTAGAGGAAGAAGAGAAAGAGCAAGAGCAAGAGGAAGAGAAAGAGAAAGAGAAAGAGAAAGAGAAAGAGAAAGAGAAAGAGAAAGGAAGAGAAAAGGAAAAAGGGAAAGAGGAAGAGAAAGACAAATGGAAGACTTTGCTTATGAAAAGGTTACAAACTAATATAATAAGCCAAAAGAATGCCTAGTAGAAATTGAGATTTAGAAGTGAAGAACATAAGATTAAGTTGTTAACATGTCTAAAAATAAACTTAAGAGCATCAAAGTGGTTATCTTTACACTGACCTTCGTATAGGTGAGCTCACGGACCCCAGCAGTACTGTAATAACCTATGGCTTCACATAGAACTGGCAAAAATGCAATGTGAAGCAAGAACCCCAGAGTTCCAAGGGGACTGTGGATGCCTGCAGATTTTGACTGGTGTGCTGAGTATAAATGATGACAGCAGAAGACCCTGGTTGTGTGACCGTTTATCCTATGTCTTAAGTAAAGACACAGGGTTTTGAGTGTCTGCCCTTCTACAGTAGTCCCTGTAGGTAATTGCCTTAGTGATTCCTGGCATCTTGCATCTGTTACAGAAACTACATATCTTACTGCTGAGTTTTTGTTTTCCCAAAAATCCCAGGACCATCTGACTCTATAAAACCAGTCAAGAGATACCGTTGGTGTAACCAGCCTGTTGGTTACTCATGCCTTGCCCCAAGGCAAGATTTGCATGGGTATCTGTCACCCCAGAATCTGCTGGTCATAACTGGTATCTTCCTTTTTTGAGGTGCTGGGATGAAACCTAAAACCTCACCCATGCTGGGCAAGTACTCTACAACTGAACTCATGTACCCCAGCCCCCATCACTTTATCCACACGGCCCAATTCTGCAGCAGCTTTCCATCAACCCTGCTCATTCGACAGCTGTGAACCAAAATGACTGCCAACTTACTATAAGCCAGCAAATGAAAGCTAAAGCTTCCTTAATATTGGCCACCATGGACCAACTCTCATCTTTCCAGGCTGAGATCACTCGGATGCCAAGGGTTCTAAAATGGCCAATGGTGACAGAACTTCAGCCGCAGGGAAAGTTGGCTTTAAAGGTGTGGAGTCTGTTTTCTTTTGAGACAGGCTCTCACTATGTTGCTCAGGCTGGGTTTACAACTTGTGGGTTCCAGTTGTCCTCCTTGGTAATGGAGAATGCCGGAGAGGTTTTCTGGTTTAAGAATCTGATTTTGTGATGAGGTAAGCCTAAGCCATTAATCAAATCAGAAAAGGTAAAATAATTATTACATGCCCTTGTATCAACTTTTGAATTTTTTTTTTTTTTTTTTGGGTTCGGTCGTGGGGCCTGAACTCTGGGCCTGGGCGCTGTCCCTCAGCTCTTCAGCTCAAGGCTAGCACTCTACCACTTGAGCCACAGCGCCACTTCTGGCTTTTTTCTTTTTGCTTATGTGGTGCTAAGGAATCGAACCCAGGGCCTCAGGCATGCAAGGCAAGCGCTCTACCACTGAGCCACCTTCCCAGCCCCACTTTTGAATATTTTTATAAACATGAAATACTCTTAGCAAGACATTTTGCTATTCCCTACTCGGTTGCATTGTTGGTAATAACAGTTGTTACAGGGCTGGGAAGGTGGCTCAGTGGTAGAGCGCTTGCCTTGCATGCATGAGGCCCTGGGTTCGATTCCTCAGCACCATATAAGCAAAAAAAAAAAAAGCCGGAAGTGGTGTTGTGGCTCAAGTGGTAGAGTGCTAGCCTTGAGCAGAAGGGCTGAGGGACAGCGCCCAGGCCCAGACAGGCCCCCTGACCGGACCCAAAAAAAAAACCCAAACAAACAGTTGTTACAGATCATGTGCTTACAAGTTAGACAGTAATTTATCTTTGTGGTACTAGGATTGAATTCAGGGCCTCATGAATTCTAGGCTTATGTTCTACCACTTGAGCCATGCATGCCTCCAGTACTCTGGACAACCCTTAAATACACGACTATCCTTTTGACCCAATTGGGTAGTACTATCTTCAATTTGCAGATGATACTGAAGCCTAGAGATTAAGAACCTACCCAAGAACATTTCAGACAGGTGGTAGAGCCAGGATTCAAATTCAAGGTCAGTAAAACACGGCTATGCTTCTAGACAGAACTCTGCTCATTTTAGCATATTATTATTATTTGAGATGAGTAGCCCAGGCTATACAGGTATACATACCTTAGTACATTTCTATATATTTCTTAGTAGTCTTCGATGATGATATATGCACAAGTTTGAGAACTACGGTGTTTGAGTATCTTTAAAGTTACCCAGAGGGCTGGGGTTCAAACAAGGCCCTAGGTTCAATCACCAGCCCTATGAGGAAAAAAAAAAAAAAAATCCAGAAAAACTGTGATCATTGTTAAACCTAGGAGAAAAATGGGAGACGAGTGGGAGATTTTTTTTTTTTTTTGGTCGGTCGTGGGGCTCGAACTCTGGGCCTGGGCGCTGTCCCTCAGCTCTTCAGCTCAAAGCGAGCGCTCTACCACTTGAGCTACAGCGCCACTTCCGAGTGGGAGATTTTTTACCTTGGTATATTCAAGTTTTTTTCTCATGAGCATTTATCACCTATTTTAAATCAATATTAAAATTCAGGAAATCAAAACCTGCCACTTTGATGTAAAAATAAGTAAGTTTAATGCTTCATAAAAACTGAATATTGAGTTTGGTCTGTAGCATATCTTTTGTTATTTTGGTTTTGTGTGTTGTGGATACAAGGTGTCTATGCGGTCCAGGCTGGCCTTGCACTCTAAAATTCTTCTGCTTCCACCTCCATGTCCTGAAATTACATCTATGTGCCATCTTCAGGGCTGGCAGCATGATGTTAAGAGGGGGAAAGAAAACGTATTTTGGAACAAGATTGCACGGCAAAAGATGAAGCACATTTCCCAATGATTTGGTATAGCAGAGCTTACATCTGGTGATAATGAGCTAAAGGTGTAGCCTTCCCACTACTTATCAGAATGAGGTAGACTACCCTTATATAGAGAAAGCAGCTAAAAACCCCAAATAAAGGCAAAGACAAAGAGAAAAATTGAACATTTTTTTTTAAAAAGCACAAAAACCCTACATACTAAAATTATACACATCAAGTATTGGTCCAATCTTACATCGACCTATTGACAATTAAAACAGCACCATGGTTTTCTCATCCAGGTTAAACATGCCCAGAAAACTGTTATTCAAAGCCTATGTTCTTTTAAAATAAAAAGCTCTTAAAGAGAGGGCAAGTCCTCAACAAACAAGACCTTCTACCAACCAGTGGATTATTGTTGGCATAACCATTCTTCCCGAAGAAAAAAACAGAACAGTTTTTCTTCTAGTTGATGATCTTTGAAAGTGTGGCACACAAATGAACAAAACCCTTTTGATAACAGGGCAATATATTGAAATACCCTTGTACCTGCACCTCTAAATAGAAAAACTCTCCTTTGGAATTAATGCTATCTTTGCCTGAATTTATTTACTTTTTTTTGGTGGTGCTTGGGAGTGAACCCAGGGCCTTGTACATTGCTATTAGGTGCTCTACCACTGAGCTACATCTCCAGCCTCTTGTTTTGAAGTTACACTTGATTATCAACAAATCTAATTAGATGAAGCCACAGTCTTTAAAACAATGGAACAGAATAGGGAAGCAGGTAAAAGCTCTCTGACCTGAAAAACTGCAATTACAGATACATTGAATCAGAATATAGGAAATTTAATGCCATTTTAACATTATATATTTAGACTAATCAGCAGTTTTATGTTCAAATAGATGTGGAGGTTTAATATTTTCCCACTGAGAATCGTGCAGTGCCTTCTTCCCTCTACTTTTCCATCTGAGATTCTCAGGGTCCTAGGTAGTAAAGTGTTATTACTCTCTTCTCATAGTAAAACAGAACCTCTGGCAGCTTTACAGGCAGTCATACTACCAAGAATCAGTTCATCCTGCTGTACCTTTTAGGCCTCTAAGCTACTCTGCAGATGGTCCTTAATTTGCCTCTTTGATGGAAAAGATGAGGAAGAGTGCCATCTGACTGGACATGACGTGGACATGACTAACATGTATCAGCACTGCCAATGTTTAGGTGACACCAATCAACCTTTCATACTTGACTTCTTTTTTTTTTGGTTGGTCATGGGGCCTGAACTCTGGGCATGGGTGCTGTCCCTCAGCTCTTCAGCTCAAGGTGAGTGCTCTACCACTTGAGCCGGAGCCACTTAGGGTTTTCTGGCGGTCTCATGGATTTTCCTGCATGGGCCGACTTTGAACTATGATCCTCAGATCTCAGCCTCCTGAGTAGTGAGGATTATAGGTGTGAGCCACTGGTGCCCGGCCCATACTTGAAAATTTTGAGGTAAAATTCTCTCTAAAATACAGAATGTTTTTCTGGTCCACACAGAATGGTTTTCCTTACACTCCTGCAAAATGAGGCAGAAGAATCACTGTCTGATCCTGCAATGGGAACAGCCATTACTGATTCCTGCATCCCCTGGCTCAGAACTGTGCGTTGTGGGGTCAGTGTTAGCTGTGGAATGTCCAAGCAGAGTACACAGACAGTGAAGGCATTGGGAGTAGTGGCCTTCTCAGTCTGGGTTGCTGTGCTCCAAATAACTATGCAGCAAGAGGAAAAAGGACATTTCAAATGACTGTCAATTTAAAACCAGAAATGATGTACTGTCAGCTCCATTACTTCCTAGTGTGCCAGAAGGGTGCTGGAAGGCACCAAAATTTAGTGTGACTGTAAACAAGGAGCTCAACATGTGGAGGTGAGCAAAGAAACACTGACACACAGGTCGCCAAGCTCTACTGAGATCAAAACTCAGAACAGAAGCCAGACTCACACATAGCTCTTCCTAGATTCCATTTTTAAAAGCTTTAGTTGGTAACTATTGGCTTCTTAAAATTGTGTAATTTGATTCTCTTTTTTAAACACTGCATTCAAAAGGTGTTTGGTGCTGCTCTTCATGGGCAATGTTCCATTTACAGTCCAAACCATTTGAATACAGGCATTTTACAGTGGTTGAGTGTTTTAAAACAAATGGTTTTATCTACTTCCTGTCTCTCAAATTAGAGGCTGCAATTACATGAGTCTGAAAGGCTGGCTCTTTGTGTTTTATTATTTTTGTTGGTCTCCATCACAGATGGAATTTTTCACTCATAATTCCTCAGAACTAAATCCATTCATAGGGAATTCAGAGGAGTGAAAATAAGTTTCACGCCATAGAGTAGGAAGTGACAAGAATAAAAGGAGTGGAGGGACCTGGACACCGGCCAACAGCATCAATTCAGTTCTCAACTGGTGTTGGGTTTTGCAAAGGCTGGCTTACTATAACCTGTACGACATAGTCCTTTGGAATCTTCAGCTCTTCTAGCTTCATTTTGTCAGTGAGAGGTCTACCAGAGAAGAACCACCGCTGACTGCCTGGCTCCACTCCTTCAGTTGCATGTAACCGTCTCTTCATGTGGTATACTGTGTCTGTGCTGCGTACCACAAGCTTAAGGTCTTTGCCTGTGGAAAGGCGCAAACGCAGCTGAGATTCATATCCAGAATTGGGTGGTGGCTCAGGAATATCCAGAGTCTCTATGTCACTCTTTTCCTCTATCATGTTGATTGGTGGTGCCAGGCAATAGACTGGCAGCTGGTACCTGTTCCCCAGCTCATCGTAGCACTCCGTAAGTGCACCTTCAGAGAGAAAAGACAGGATTAAAAACTGAAATGAGTACTTCTGGCTTATAGTCTGCAGAAAGCTTAAGTCTCTCGTGCTAGCACATCCCAGTAAGGAGAAAAGCATAAAATACCAGTCGTTGTCCACTACTTGCCAGTGATGACCTACCACCTTCAAGTTGTGTCTAATGTACATCTTCATTAGTTAGCAAGGACCCTCACTTCTTACCCTACCTCTGCTTTATCACTGGACACCAACTGCTCTACTTCAGCAAGCAGAAGAGGAAGAAAGCAAACACAAGTCACACATTAGTATTATCAGTACTAAGATCAAATGAAAGGGAAGCTGAAATTACATGTGTCTTTTTTATTTTTTGGTCATCATGGGGCTTGAACTCTGGGCCTGGGCGCTGTCCCTCAGCTCTTTAGCTCAAGGTAAGCAATCTACCACTTGAGCCACAGTGCCACTTCTGGCTTTTTTCTGCTTATGTGGTGCTGAGGAATTGAACCCAGGGCCCCATGCATGCAAGGCAAGCACTCTACCACTGATACACCTTCCCATTCCTACATGTATCTTTTCAATAACAAACCATACTGTTCACCCTAAAGACATAAGAAAGAGAGAGGATCTCAAAGCCCAATTTACTACAACAGTATTCACGAGTAGTTTTCTTTCTGCCCAGACTAAAGAACCAGAGTTGGCCAGAAGATCACAAACAACTATAACCTAGCTCAGTGGCAAAGTGCTCACCACTCAAGTGCAATGTCCTGGGTTCAATCCCCAGTACGAAAAAAATAAAAACAAAAGCAACAGTAGGGCCGGGAGTGTGGCTTAGTGCCTAGCATGCAGGAAGCCCTGGGTTTGATTCCTCAGTACCACATACACAGAAGAGGCTAGAAAAGTGGTCCTGTGGCCCAAGTGGTAGAGCGCTAGCCTTGAGCAAAAGCAGCTCAGAGACAGTGCCCAGGCCCTGAATTCAAGCCCAGGACTGGCAAAATAAACCCCACAAACAACTGTACCTGCTGCTGCATACTCGCTGCTTATACAGGGCCTCATCTGCACAATTAATTACCACAGAAACAACTGGGGTGTTTTGCCGAACCCAAATTTATCCATTACAGAGGCACTCAAGACAGAAAAACAACTGCAAGGGTATGAAGCTTACAACAAGCTATCTTGGGGGAGAGGAAAAAAAGTGTCAACTGTGGCTTATTTGTTTTGTTTTTCCTTTTTTAATTCTATTTTATTTTGTTCTGTCTATTTTATATTTAGTTGCTACTCAACTAATCATCTACTCATCAACGCATCTTCACCAGTATGACAGCTTTCATTCTCTCTGACCCCTTCCCTTCAGCTCATCTCTTTATAAAGCACAAATTGAATTACAATTATCACGACTTTCTTGACGGGGAACTTGAAAGCAGAACATACTGAACTATTTTAAGCTTACATATAATGTGTCCTTTCCTCAAACTGAAGTATAGAATGCCTTCTCCATACCTTACTAAAGACCTATTTATAACGCTTCTCTTTACAAAGTAGAGTATGTCCACCTTTCAACAAAAAAATTACAAGATACACTGAAAGACAGAAAAAAGCATCAAACACAGACTCAGCCAAGCTGAACCCCAGTGACTCACACCTATAATCTTACACTAAGAAATGAGAATCTCAGGTCTCAGACTTTAGGGAAGAAAACTCTGTGAGACTCTCCTCCAATTAAGCAGCAAAAAAGCTGTGGCTCAAGTGGTAGAGCACTAGCCTTGAGCAAAAAAGCTTAAAGACAGTGCCCAAGCCCTGAGTTCAAGCGAGACACGCATGCACGCTCGCATGCATGCAGACAGATGGAATACCAAGGATCTCAAACTAAGAATTTAAAATACTTATAATTGATATGCTCATAGTTCCAACGGGAAAAGTAGACAGTATGTACGCTATATGAAGAAAGCATACAGATGGAAAGTGTAAGAAAGAACCAAAGAAATGCTGAACAAGTGGGAAATGCCTTTGCTGGACAAAAGGGTCAAAGTTCAAGTGGTAGAGTACCCTGGTTGGCAAACAGAAGACCCTGAGTACAAACTCCAGTACTGCCAAAAACAAAAACTAAATGGAAGTAGTTATATTAATTTCAGGTAGAGCATTCTATAGAGCAAGGACACTGAAAAGAAAAAAAGAGGAACATTATGTAATGGCAAAGAGGTCCATTTTTCAAGACAAAATAATCTTCAATGTATATGCACCTAACAATAGATCATCACGATAAGTAAGGCAAAAGCTAATAGCTTTTTTTTTTTTAATTTTTTTTGGGGGGGGTCCGGTCGTGGGGCCTGAACTCTGGGCCTGGGTGCTGTCCCTCAGCTCTTCAGCTCAAGGCTAGTGCTCTACCACTTGAGCCACAGCGCCACTTCCAGCTTTTTTTTTCCTGCTTATGTGGTGTTGAGGGATCAAACCCAGGGCCTCATGCATGCAAGGCAAGCGCTCTACCACTGAGGCACCTTCCCAGCCGAAGCTAATAGCTTTTAATGCTTAAACTACAGTTGGAGCCTTCAACACCCTGAGAAATGGAGATCTAACAGGCAGTAAGATTAGAAATGACATAAACTTAACACCATCAATTAAACATAAAGGACATGTTTAAACTACTTCCTCCAAACAGTAGCAAAATACACATTAAAGCTCACACAGAAAATTCACCAATACAACCATACTCTAAGCCATAAAAATATACTCCAATAAGAACAGAAATTATACAAAGTCAACTCTCAAACTATAAAAGAAACTACAAATCCACACATATGATACAATACTACATCAAATACAGGTATAAGGAGAAATCTTAAGAGAAATTTTACAGTATCATGAACTAAAGGAAATTTATCACCATTAATGGGATATGGTAAAAACAGTGGCTTACAGGGAAATTTAATAATGCATATATGAGAAAAGAAAGACCTAGGTCAATCACTTAAGCTTCCCCTTTAGGAAACTAGAAAAAGAAAGCAAATTAAAGAGTGGAGATTCCAGACACCAGTGGCTCATATCTGTAATGCTAGCTACCCAGGAGGCTGAGATCTGAAGATCGCAGTTCAAAGCCAGCCTAGGCAAGAAAGTCTGTGAGACTCTTGTCTCCAATTAACCACCAGAAAACTGGAAGTGGTGCTACGACTCAAAAGTGGTACAGTGCTAGTCTTGAGCAAAAGAGCTCAGGACAGTGCCCAGGTCCTAAGTTCAAGCTCCATGAATGACCAAAAAAAAAAAAAAAAGGTAGAGCACTTTCCTACCATATGCCGAACCCTGGACTTGGATTTCCAGTTCTCGGGATAAGAGAAAAAATTAAATCAAATGTGAGCAGGAGAAATAACAAGTGGCCAGGCATGACAGTTCATATGCCTATAATCTAGGCTATTCAGGAAGCTGGTATCAAGACCATGGTTCAGAGCCATCCAAGACAGAAAACAAAACCCAATTTAAACCAACAAGCCAGATATGACAGTCTATACCTGTAACTCTATCTTTTTAAAAGAGACTTAGGTAGGAAGGGTCCAGTGTAAGGGTTAACCTGGACAGAAAACATGAGACCTTATTTGGGAAAAGAAAAAAGCCTAAAGCAAAAAAAAAAAAAAAAGGGTTGGAGGAATATGGCTCAAATGGTGGAAGGTCTAACAAGTGCAAAGCTCTAAGTTCAAATCCCACTACAAGAATACAGTAATAGGCTCGCTCTTAGGTGAATGAGGTAGTTAGTGGGAGGAAGATATGAACTTAGTGGAAAACAAAAAGCACAGGAAAAATGTGAGACGAAAAGCCAGAAATACACCACAAAGGGCAAGTAATGAATAGTGTAAAATACAGCCCAGCAGCTAGATAATCTCAGCTCAAAGGGTGTGAAAGGCCAGGCCAAAGGAAGTGATGGTGACAGGACAGAAAGAACACCGTGCTTCCTGGTCTCCCCTACAGTGTCTGAGGAGAGTGAAAAACAGAACAATATGAAACTGAGAGGTTTGCTTTAACAAGAGGCCATTTTACCTTTTTTTTTTTTTGTCATGGGGCCTGAACTCTGGGCCTGGGCGCTGTCCCTCAGCTCTTCAGCTCAAGGCCAGTGCTCTACCACTGAGCCACCTTCCCAGCCCCACGAAAGGCCATTTTAAATAAAAATTGTGTGGGGATTTTTCTCTCCCTTTAACCCTGCCACAGTTAGCGGTGCTTGCATTTGCAGCCTACTTTCCATCACCACTCCGGCCACTGAAGGCACAAATTGCTTCAGCAATTCTTCACCAGTTCTCAGGCTGCTCTCGCTGCCAGGCTTGTGTGCAAGACTCTTTTCCATTCTGCGTGGAAGGACAGTCTTTCTTCGCCCTCACAAACCCACTGTAGGAGTCTCGTTCTAGACAGATGGCCATGAGGATAACTGCCTGCCAGAGCATCTTTTCCCCAGGAAGGCCAGGAAGCCCTGAGGCCCACCACGGCAAGCTGCCCGCTTCTACCTTCTGTTCCCATGTCATACACACTTTTTCTGAAGGTGTTTCTGTTATCTAAATGACTGGCTCAGATGTTCTACCTTCTTTCCTGAGCTGTTTTCTCTGGCTACTCTTATAATTAAGTTTCAAAATATTTCACTAGACAACCCTAAAGATAAACTCAATTGGATGCCAAATAAAAAAAGTTTTATTAGATGCCACTAAGTCTAACACTTCATTCTCTCAACCTTTCAGGCTGAAAAGAAAGATGTACTTTTAATCCTTTCTAGACTTTTCTGCTTACCTTCTCACTCTTGTCACAGGGTAGCTTGTTATAATTTTTTTCATCACTTGAGATTGACATTGCTGTATAAACAGGTTTACAAAAGAATCTGTCAACATGACAATAACAAAGCCGTCTTGGCTGTGAGGATGATGGCCCCACAGGTCAAAGTTGATTAAACTATATACTTAACATCAAAAATGCATCAATAGGGTTTAAAAATTAAATTTATATCATATAACTCATATCAAAGACTGCCCTCCCCAAATGAATTAAGGGGGCAATGTCCTAGAACCCCAGGGCTTGAAGTGTACTTTTCAATAACCATGACCTCCGAGGAGCAAAGAAAGGCCTCAACACTGAAGTGCGTGGGACACAGCTACTCATTAGGAGGAGCTCACTGACATTAAAGAAGGAAGCAGCAGGGAGTATCATAGAAGGGAGCCTGGTGAAGGAAGGGGCAGAAGACCTTGAAGGAAGAGGTAAACCATAAATGGGACAGTGGCTTTGATCAACTTCCATTTGAATGCAGAGACTAGTCTGGCACAGGTGGGGTCTATTTCCTTTAAAGACTACAGTATCATCTGGGCACCAGTGGCTCCCATCTGTAATGCTAGCTCCTCGGGAAGCTGAGATCTCATCATCATGGTTCGAAGCTAGCCCAGGCAGGAAAATCTATGATACTCTTATCTCCAAAAAACCAAAAGTGGCACTGTGGCTCAAAGTGGTAGAATGCTAGTCTCGAGTGAAAGAGCTCAGACAGAGCCCAGGCCCCAAGTTCAAGCCCTATGATAGGTCAAAAACAAAAACCAAAACCAGCAATCATAGTACATACGTTACAAGGGAGTTTTAAGGATTCAGTAATAAAACATGTAAAGTTGCCTAGCACTATAAATCCATAAGAAACAGTAATGTTGATTCTGTTCACTCACGTTTTAAATCTCAGAATCAAAATGATAGGGGAGCACTTTTGAACAGCAATGTCACAAATGATCAAAGTTCCAAGCATCTGAGTTTATTGTGTCATACCTCACCAGCTCTGCTACAAATCTACTTTGCAGTAAGACTGTATCAAAGGAACATCATTATCCTTCAACCAGACATTAGGAGCAGTTGAAGGGATGCTATAACATACAACTACAGGCTCTGACGGTGGTTAGGCTTTAGGAGGAGGAGGATTAGGTACCTAATTGTTCTCATTCACCCAAGCCTACCATCATCACCATCTCTTCTGGTTGGAGGAGGTAAGGTGGCTTAGCTTATGAGGACTGTTAGTTATGTGATGGTCAAAACAACATTAAGGCTGGGCATCAGTGCTCACATCTATAATCCTAGCTGAAGCTGAGATTTGAAGGTCCTGTTTTAAAGCCAGCCCAGCCAGCAAAGTCCATGAGACTCATCTCCAATTAACCATCAAAAAGCTTGGAGTGGAGCTGTGACTCTAGTGCTAGCCTTGAGCAAAAAAGCTCAGGGATAGTACCCCAGGACTGACTCACTGACACATACACCAACTGACTGACACCCCCTCAACTGACACACACACACACACACCTGACTGACACACACGCACACACACACCTGACTGACACACACACACACAAAACCCAACCCAACCCAACCCAACCCAACCAAAAAACACATGTTATAAAATGCTTAGCCATATTTCTAAAGCACTTGGATGTGCTTTAATAGAAGTAGCAGTTGGTAGAGCACACCCCCATGGGATCTCACGAGAATCAGGCTTCCCTGTCACCACTCAAGTAGCACAGAAAAGAGGCCTTCTTAAGAGACAAGCCGACGGACTTAGGACAACTTCCTACTTCAGCTATTTTCAGACTTCATTGCTCTAATTGAAGAAAGAGAATGACAGCAGCAGGGAAGTAGACAAATTTATACTTTATAACTATCTTTGTCTCTTTGAGGATAGAGCCATGAAAATGAAATAACATCTATGATTAACTAGTCATCAGATCCTGTATTAAGGCACATTTAATTTCCAAACACAGTAACATCCTGGGAAAAATCTCTCACCTCCCCTGTAAGTACAATATCCTTATGCCTTCATTCCTATGGTTTATTTTTATGGACTAACATGTTCGTTCAATGACAAATTTTTTCTTTTTTTCTTTTTTTTTTTGTCGGTTGTGGGGCATGAACTCAGGGCCTGGGAGCTGTCCATGAGCCTCTTTTTTTGGTCCAGTCCTGGGGCTTGAACTCAGGGACTGGGCTCTGTCTCCGAGCCTCTCTGTGGTCAAGGCTAGCACTCTACTACCTGAGCCACAGTGCCACTTTCGGCCTTTTCTGTTTATGTGGTACTGAGGAATCAAACCCAGAGCTTCATGCATGCTAGGCAAGCACTCTACCACTGAGCCATCTTCCCTGCCCCCCTTGAGCCTCTTTGTGCTCAATGCTAGCACTCTACCACTTGAGCCAAAGCACTATTTCTGACAAATTTTTATAGGTATCTTTAAAGCACCCAAAATTTCCCAGCCTGCTTTTAACCAATTTGTTTTTGAGAAACTGCTTGTTTCCCTATAGGACTAAAGACAGACACCATTTAAAACATGATATGCATTTAAAACCATTCTAAGTTAGACATGGGATAAACATTAAAGATCCACAAGTATGTATACACAAATTGACTAAAGGATGTTATACTTAGGGAAGTAAAACTAATGAACCATTTAACAAAATGAATACCAGGAAGCTGGAACATGTTTGGGGGGCAGTGGGGAGTGGTAATGAGAGGGAACACTTGAATGCAGGGAGGCAGGGTGGGCAAACACCGTCATTATACTCAATGAACACGATGGCAAAACTTAACTACTTAACTTGACATAGTTACATAGGATGGGATTGGGAGAGACGGGGGAAGAGCAATGGGAGGGGTAACTCTCGCTCAAGATGCACTGTACTCGGGGCTAGGATGTAGCTCAGTGGCAAAGCGCTTGCCTAAGCAAGTGCAACGTCCTGGGTTCGATCCCCAGTACCAAAAAAGAAAAGACAAAAATAAATAGTTAAAAAAAAAAATGCACTGTACTCATGAGTACAGTTGAACTCCTTTGTACATTTAATAAACATAAATCTAAAAAAAAACATTGAGGGCTGGGAAGGTGGCTCAGTGGTAGAGCGCTTGCCTTGCATGCCTGAGGCCCTGGGTTCAATTCCTCAGCACCACATAAGCAAAAAGAAAAAAAGCCGGAAGTGGCGCTGTGGCTCAAGTGGTAGAGCGCTAGCCTTGAGCTGAAGAGCTGAGGGACAGCGCCCAGGCCGAGTTCAGGCCCATGACTGGACCCCCCCCAAAATAAGAACAACACTGAAGATGACTTGTGCAATCACTTTACAGGACACACACAGAAGTAGTGTCAGATGTACACTGAGCTGCTTTACCCTCAGAGCTGACTCCAAATATCAGGCCCATCATTTATATCTTAGAAAATGTATCTGCAATCCCAGCTACTCAGGAGACAGAGATTAGGGAGGTGCCTTGAGGCCAACTAGTAGAAAAAGTATTCAAGACTCCATCTCAACAAAAAAGCTGAGCTGTCACCACAGCTATGCCAGAAACATTTAAGTAACAAGCAATGAATTCCAATGAATTCCTGACAAATAACTAAAGCAAAAAGGCACGCAAGTGTGACTCAAGGGGTAGAACAGGCCTGCCTGCATCGCAAGCAGGAGGCCTCAATTCAAAGCTCAGCACTGCCACAAAAAAAAAAAGGAAGCAAAGAGAAAAAGAGGTCACGCAGCCGGGCACCAGTGTTTACACCTGTAATCCTAGCTACTCAAAAGGCCAGGAACTGAGGATCATAGCTCAAAGCCAGCCCAGGCAGGAAAGTTCATGAGATTCTTATCTCCAAGTGACACCAAAAAGCTGAAAGGAGAGCTGTGGCTCAAGTGGCAGACCACTAGCCTTGAGTAAAAGCTCAGGAACAGTGCACTGGTCATGAGTTCAAACACAGGACTGGCACATTAAAAAAAAAAATGTCATACTAAAATAGCACTATATTACAAATACTTCAAATGTGAAAGGATCATTTTATATATGTTGAAAAAGTGATCAATGGGTGCTCAATAAAAGCCTACGCTAATAAGCTTTTATAATAAATAACAGGCAGCTAGTTTAAAAAAAGAAATGTTTCTTGGAAGCACAGTTATTTCAGTCATGTCTCTAATCCAAGTTTTTAATGATTCTAATCACGGAGACCAAATAAGATGGATCCAGAATATATGTATCTCTGTAAACATTTGAAGTTTATAGTTGTCTTTAGTCACATTCCTAACCAAAGAGAGGTTTCTAATACTGTTCAAGGTTATAATCCTAGAACACCACCCTTGAGAAGACACGAGACTCATTTCTAAGTCTGTTAGTTCCTTATGCTACAAATAAGCCTAAAGAGAAAATATGATATGTAAAGGTGTACCCTGAGACTCTCAGTACCCTGAGACTCTGAAGTGAGATCTTTTCTGCCCCCAGTAGGAAGGCAGCGGGGGTAGAAGCACTTACAGATGTGCTGAGGGATGGGAATTGGAGGAGGAAGCAGGAGGGTACAAGACATCTTTACAGATACCTAGGTGATCTTGAGACTACAAAAACTACAAAAACACTATTTCAACAGTTCTATCTTCTGAGATTAGGAAATATTAAAATGAGGGCTAGGAGAATGGCCCAAGCAGTCAGGTGCCTGCCCAGCTAGTAGGATTATAAACCCAAACACCACCAATGAATGAATGAATACAGATAAATAAAAATATATAAACACAAAGTGAATTATCTCCAGCTGAAAAACATACAAAGACACACAAAAAACACAGAAAAACCAAAGTGCCTTGCTATGTGTTCCTGTCATCAGAAAGAAGCTGATGTGTTCCTTTGTCCTGCAGGACCGTCTGACTTACCATGCGGTAGTGTGATGCTTGCACCATCGATGATGGCCTGTGCCAGTTCATGATCATTGCTCTCAAAGGCGTGCGCAGCAGCCTTCAAAGCATCCCAAATCTCCTTGCGGCCTTCAAAAGCTGGTGCAGTGTCCCAAAACTCATCCCTCTTGCTGCGGAGTTGTCCGTCTGTCATAGGATAATCGCTTTTCCATTTTGGCTTCTCCCTTTTCAAAGGCTGGTTCCGACCTAGAGCAACTGAAAAAAAAGAAAAGAATGACAGACATAAAAATTTCCAAGATACTCTTCTTTTATAAGAAAAGTTACCTATTCTCCTTTTGGATTCTTTCACCACATTTAGGTACAAATTTCTCTACCAGCTGTTTTTACCTACTAGATAATTTCTGGCTTACACTGCCCTAATCCACTTTAACAAAGAAAATGGAAACAGCTCTATGCAAAATGTTCAATGACCAGTTAGCAGTCTCTCCCCTCAGCACGCCTTCCCCAAACGAAGACTAAAAAGAATTATAATCGCAACAAATGTACCACTGTGGTGAGAGATGTTGATAAGGGGAAAGCTTTTCATGTGCCCAGGCAAGGAACATAAATGAAATTTCTGTACTTTTCTTTTTAATTCTCCTGTGAACCAAAATCTGTTATTTAAAATTATTTATTAGTATACATTAATTGTACAAGGAGAGGGGCTTGTTATGACATTTTCACATTTAAATACAATGTATCTGGATCAAACTCACCCCTCCATTACTCTCCCATACCTCTCTCTCCCATCCTAAAACAATTTCACGGGGCACTAGATACCTGATGAGCTCACAGCACCACTGGCCACAAATAGGAACGTTTGATAGATGGAAGACGTAAAAAGATAGTCTAAGCTTGATAAAAGAGTGGGTGGGAATTAAGTGAGAGCAGGTAGGAAAGAGGGAGGGTATGTGTCAAAACGCAATGCAAAGAACAGTTTTACTTTCTGCTGTATGACCAGTTAGGTGGGTCAAAAATAATTCATACACAATCACTTTATACTGGGCCAGAAGTAGAAGCAGAAAGTCAACTCAGTAGGATACCTATTTAAGTTTCAAGTCTACCTAATGTCAGAGAGGTATTTGCTGTCATATGAATTATACATACCAGACCTGGAAGCGGGGAGGGGGTGGGGGGGGGCGGCGCACGGGGGGGGGGGGGGGGGGGAGGATATCACTTTTCTTGTCATTGTGAGAGAATCTCAAAGTAACAATAAACCTCTACTATTTCACTACCTAAAATTCAAGAAAGTAAAAGAACCCCCCTGGACCAGGTCCTGTAAGGCACTTAAGGATGAAGAATTTAGCACAATGTTCTTCCTTGAAGAGCTGTTTCATGCTTGCCATTTGCTTCTGGTTTATTTAGGAAAGCACATTTCCTGTATCTCTTATTGCCAAAATTTCTGTTTTCAAGATCAAAAAAGTCAACAATCCTTAGTTTTCTTCCCAGTTTAGTTAGAAACAAAAGCAATCTAATTTTTGAAAGTTATTCCAGAATTTTTACAATTACTCTACATTTCCTATTTAAAAAAAAAACAACCTGCCTTTGAGCTGGGCGCTAGTCACTCACGCCTGTAATCCTAGCTACTTAGGAGGCTGAGATCTAAGGATTGTGGTTCAAAGCCAGCCTGAGCTAGGAAAGTACGTGAGACTCTTACCTACAATTAACCAACAGAAACCAGAAGTGGCGCTGAGACTCAAAGTGGTAGAGTGCTAGCTTTGAGCTGATGAGCTTAGGGACAGCACTCAGGCCCCATGCCCAACAACAGAAACCTCTTGATAATATTCATCCACTCTTAGACATGGTCTAGACATGCTCTTGTTTCAAGATAAGTGTACTATCACATACATACATACAATATACACAATATGTGTATTTCCTTTACCTCAAGCAATTAACAGGCAAGATAAAAATAAGAATACACAGATTTAAATGCCATGACCACCACATGCTGGTGGTTAACACCTATAATCCTAGCTGCTCTAGAGGCTGAGATCTGAGGATCATGATCCAGCCCGGGCAGGAAAGTCTGGAGACTCTTATCTCCAATCGACCAGAAGAAAAAAAAACAGAAGTACAGCTGTGGCTCAAAGTGGGAGAGTACTAGCCTTGAGCCAAAAGAGCTTAGGGACAGTGCCCAGGCCCCACAACCAACAAAAACAGAAACACACAAACAAAAAAAGCACTTTAACGTTCTTGGTATGATAGTGGTATTGTAGTGATGTAGGAAAACAGGAGAGATATGCTGAAATTTTTAGGAGTAAACTGTCATGATGCTAGCTACAACCTTCAAATGGTTTGACCATAAAAGGAATGTGCATGTCTACATACATAAACACACACGAGAAAACGGTACATATAGCATAAACAACTACTGAACTTACATCTAGGAAGCATGTATCTTATATACTATTCACATTCACATTTGAGTAGTCTCACAATATTCTCTTAGGGAGTGGTGACTGAACCTTGTGAAGTAGCAAGACATGAAAGAAGGGGCAAGGTAGCAGGGCACAGGAGTGCTAGCCTGAAAGGACAAGACCATCAATTAAAGACGACAGATCAGAAATGCCAATTTGGCAAGATTTTGGCAACAGAGAAAAGACTGGATTCTGAAGCAAGAAACAGAAGAGAACCAGGAACCACAAAGGAGGTGGTGGGAGGCAGAAAATCAGAGAAAACAAGCAAAAGAAGAGAAGTAGTGAGGAGTCCCAAGGCCAGCCCCAGCTCCCGAGGGAGGGGAAGCTGAAGACTCCATTACAAGGAAGCACAGAACCCTGGCAACAAACTGTAAAACTAGCTGCAGGAAAAGCCCACACATCCTCCAGCCTTCATTCCAGTACAAGCATCTGTGAGCCAGCAAGTAGTCTAGTGTGGAAGGGCTATCCTTGATGGTTGAAGGCATTCCACAGCAACTCCACGACCTTGGAGCCTGAGAAAAAGAACAATCATGCTCAAGGAGTCTCTGAACAACTTTGTCATGGAGTTTGGGTGTAAGTCGGTCGCAAGAGGTGTTCAAATAGAGGAAAAGTGATCACAGAGCAGTTCAACTTAGCACTGGCTGTTTTGGGAGCTGGCATGCCAGAGGCAGCTGCTCAACGCACCTGGCACACAGGAAGCAGAGATTCCAGACTCCTCTTGGAAGAATGCGAGTGCCAGCTGAGGCCAACAGCTGAAAAAAACCAGCTTTAGTTTCATGCAAAGTTGCCTTGGACTTCCTATTCATATGTCTACAGCATGCTTAATTTTGTGCTCTCCCTCTCCTTCTCCTTGTAGTTCTTCTTTGCCCTCCCTTCCTCTTCTCTGCAGTCATATCTGAGTCATGACAGTATTCAATCTTCCTTCACACTTCCTTCCCTTTCCTACTGCCCTTCCCCATGTATACTTTCCTTCTCTTTTTTCTTGTTTTCTTCTATTTCCCCCGTTCCTAATCTTTGCTACCTATACTTTTATCTGGTAACAGAAAGCCCAACATCACTCTGTCTTTGTGTTCTTATGTGTCTACCTGTTCAATTCTCACGTCTCTTTCCCCTCCACCTGTTACCTCCTCTAACTCCACTTTGTGTTAAGCTCAGAGCTGCCACCCCTTCTTCCCCACAACCCACACCTGGGGTATCAGTATAAGCCACACTATCTCCTTCCCGTTACCATTCTGGTTCACCTAGGCCTGTCTGGATACACCACTGCTTCTACATTCATCTAAAGAAGTGGGGACTGGTATTCTTTTAGGGATTGCCACAAGTAAAAGCTCATAGTTACAGTAGTGTTCTGAGGATTCAAACAGAATGTTTGACGACTAAGCCACACCTCTCTAATCTGGTAAAGAAAATAATACACAACCTAGCCACTACTCCATTGTAAGTAAAATTTAGTGCCCTTATATAAGGAGACAGGAGAAAAAAAATGATCTTACCCATGTGAGGACACACAGAGAAAACAGTCAGGAGTACTCAAAAAGGGCTCTCTATGGACATCAAACCAGCTCTCCCCTTGGTATTAGGACACAACAGCTTTCAGAATCGTGAGAATTAAGTTTCTGTCATCCAGTCTGCAATATTCTATTACAGCAACCTGATCTTACAAAAGTGAATACTGGTACCAAGTAGTAGGGTACTGATATAACAAATACCAAGAAAGGTGGAAGTGACTACATAATGGGTACAGGCTGGGAAAATGAGGGAGCAATCACCCATCCAACAGTGAAAAGGTCTTTTTTTGGCTCACAATTTTGAAGGCTTCAACCTGTGATTTACTGGCCCTGGTAATTTGGGCCAGAGTAAGCAGTACCTCATAGTGGGAGGGCCTGATAGAGCAAACTGGTTATATCTGGATAAAGAGGGAATGTGTGGGCCTGGGTCCCATTATCCCTTTCAACACCAGGCCCTGAACACCCTTAAGATTTCTCACTAGACCTTCCCACTTAAAGGCTCCACCCTTCCCTATCTCCCTCCACCCCCCAAGAAAAATCACAAAAGACTCTGTGGGACACTCTCAAGATCCAAGCTACAGCAGAGTTCTGCTGTGTTCTCTTAAGGAAGAGTAAAGTTGGAAAGAAAGCCCCTATCTTCTTACAGAATACAGAAATCACTGTAAAAAGAATATTGTTAGAAACACGAATGAAGACCATTCTGATGAGGTAATGGAGGAAAGGAATACAGTGGCAAAGAACCTGGCTGAACTGTTTATGTTTTGGTGTTCCGTGAAAGGTAGAGCTGTGAGCGATAAAATTCATTAGCTGAAAAGATTATGTTGATAAAAAGTGACATATTTACGGGCTGCAGCAACTTGTCAGAGAAACTGCTTGGTTCCTCTTGAATGCTTATGTGAAAAAAAAAGACATGAAGGTAGAAGTCAGACACCAATGACTCACACTGTAGGTAATCCTTTCCTACTCAGGATGCTGAGATCTAAGGACTGAGGCTCAAAGTCAGCCCCAATTACTATCTTATCTCTAATTAACTATCAAAAAGCCAGAAGTGGAGCTAGGGCTCAAGTGACAGACTGCCAACTACTCAGGAGGCTGAGATATGAAGATCACAGTTCGAAGCCAGACAGGGCAGACAAATCCTCAAGACTCTTAATCAAAAAGACAAAACAAAAATTCAGAAACTACAAGTGGAGGCATGATTCAACTGGTAAACATTGGCTGTAAGCAGAAATAGCTCAGAATGTGAGGCCAGAGTTCAAGCCAGTATAACACGGTGGGGGGGTGGGGGGGGGAAGACCTTTAAGATGAGTTGGAGACCACAGCTAAGTCTCCTTGATTTGAAAGGTGAATCCTAAGTTTCCATAGGCCTATATTGTTTAAATTTCAATTTCTAGAGAGCAAGTGCATGTGTGCGTACATATGCACACACATACACACATGCACAAACTTTCAAGCTTATCCCTAACCTTTCTGCATATTCTCATGTCCCTTATTAAGCAGTGAAACCTATCAACCGTTAGAGCTTCACAACAGAAAGGAGATACAGGAAAATCCTCATCAATGGACCGGTGCTTACTTGGAACAGAGAACATAAGTCAGCAACAACATTCTAAAAGACTGCTACATTTCACTCAATAAATCAATTCTTATTGCAAGAAGTTTTTTCTTTCTTCCCACATTAGTGTTGAAATATTCTTGGACATTTGGCACAGGCCAAAATATTGCTAAGTCCACTGGAGTAAATCTCCCTCACAGCTATAGCAAACATTTAGGACAAAAAATACAAAAAGCAACTGAAGTTCCAAAAGCTCAAAATAGTAGGCAGATGGGGAGAAGCCTAAATTTGAAAAACATTCCTTACTGGGGTGAGCTTCATGTTTTTCCTTTTTCTCTCAGATTAGATCTGAGAGCAGCTCAAGTATGGAAACATGTAACAAAATATACTAGATGAACTGACAAGGGTTCTTTTGGGCCACAACAGCAAAAAGGAGCTCTCAAAAAAGGGAAATCTCTTTTTTAGTTTTTGAAATCTACCAATAGTAATAGTGAAATGGTCACAAACTCAATGTTCTGAGTACTGCAAAATGAAGAATGCAGGGTTTTCTCTCTCCATTTTTGTCATGGTCCCCACATTACCCCAAGGCAGCGTTAGTTACAGGAACTGGGTGGCAGCACTGGCAACAACTCTGAGCACTCTTTCCAGTCATAAGGCAAAGGGAAGAGGCTCTTTGGAACAAAGAACACAGTGGGAAACTGAAGAGTAGAAAAAACTGGAGAATAAAACTCTGCAATTGAACCCAGTCAAGCTCCAGGTTTACCTGACCTGCATGTGCAGAGTATGGTGCGAAAGCCATTCAACAATGGCTTTGGAAATACACTCTGATCAAAAGCACCACTGAACTCCTACAGTTTCCTGACTGGTGCTAGCATGAAGGCTAACAAAGACTTTCAAAAGTTAACTGGCATTAGAATCACAAAAGACAAAATCAAAGAGCGAATATGCTGTCTGAACCTAACCAGGTCAAACCAAACTAAACCAAACCAAACCTGAAGTATTCTTCAGAAGGTTTAAAAAAGTTCCAGTCTTTGGGCTTGGAAGGGGTGGCTCGGTAGTAGAGTGCTTTCTCTGCATGCCTAAGGCCCTGGGTTCGATTCCTCAGCACCACATAGGCAGAAGTGGCACTGTGGCTCAAGTGGTAGAGCGCTCGCCTTGAGCAGAAATGCTGAGGGACAGCACCCAGGCCCAGAGTTCAGGCCCCATGACTGACCAAAAAAAAAAAAAAAATTCCAGTATTTTAAAGGTTAAACTTTTAAAGGTTCTTCATAACTTGTAAAAAAGTTCAAGTTGTACAGGCATGAACCCAATATTGCTCAGAACATGAAGAACCAGAGACATGTGACCAATTTTCAAGGGAAAAGATGGTAAACAAATGAGAATCCCTGAGATGATCCAGATGTTGGAAGCACAAAGCACACTGGAAAAAGACATCGTTAGAGTTTTAAGAAGTTAGGCAAGAGCAGTGGTTCACAACTATAATCCTAGCTATTCAGGAGGCAAAGATCTAAGGATCTTGGTTTGAAGATAGCTAGAGCAAATGCTCCAGGTTCTTATCCCCAATTAAGTGGCAAAGAGACAGAAGTGGAAATGGTAAAGCAGCAGAGACAGAAGTGGAAATGGTAAAGCAGCAGTCTTGAGCAAAGCAAGAGTGCAGGACCCTGACTTCAATCCTTAGTACTGACCCTCCCCCCAAAAAAAGAAAAATGAAAAAAAAACTCAGTATACCCCCATTGAGAAAAATTGAATTAAAAAAATTTGTAAAGAGTAAAAGCAAAAAGAAATGTACTCATTACCTGATTTATGAAATGGCAGCCTATCACCTTTTTTTTTTGTGGCCAGTCCTGGGCTTGAACTCACAGCCTGGGCACTGTCCCTGAGCTTCTTTTTTTGCTGAAGGCTAGCGCTTTACCACTTGAGCCATAGTCCCACCTCTGGCTTCTTTTGGTAGTTCAGTAGAGACAAGAGTCTCATAGACTTTTTCTACCCAGGCTAGCTTCAGAACTGATCCTCAGTTATCAGCCTCTTGAGTAACTAGGATTACAGGCATGAGCCATCACTGCCCAGCTTCTTTAAGACACTTATCTCCAACAGACTGCCAAAAAGGCTGGAAGCGGAACTGTGCCTCAAGTGGTAGAGTGCTATCCTTGAGCGCAAAAGAAGCTCAGGGATGGCACGTAGGCCCTCAGTTTGCACTTCCAGGACTCGCAAAAAACAAAATAAAAATAAATAAAGCAAAAGAGCTAGAGGAATAACTCAAAAGTCAAGAGTTCAAGCATTTGTACTTAAAAAATCCCTACAAAAACTTGTTTTTTTGCTTTTTGAGTTTTTTTTTTTTTTGCCAGTCGTGGAGCCTGAACTTTGGGCCTGGGCCCTGTCCCTCAGCTTTTCAGCTCAAGGCTAGCGCTCTACCATTAGAGCCACAGCTCCACTTCCAGCTTTTTCTGCTTTATGTGTTGCTAAGGAATCGAACCCAGGGCCTCATTCATGCAAGGCAAGTGCTCTACCACTGAGCTACCTTCCCAGACCCCTACAAAAACTTTATCAAGTATTCTTTAGGTTAAAAAAAGTCTTTCTTGTTTGCTCCTTAATTATCTCAAACAAACTTATTCCTCTCCTCCCCACATACAGTTGAACAGCTGTGTTCAAGACACATCTGAAAAGTTTTAAACTGCAAGCATATAGTCTGAAGAAGAGGCAACAATGAGAAAAATAACTGAATAAACAGGCACAGAAGATGATGAGAGCATTCTTTTTCCTAGTTGATCCCATTAATTATTAGTTCAAATTTTTGTTATGAGATACGATGAAATTTGTTAATATTAAAGACAATTACCCATCTCATTTTTTACTACTTTCATTTCCACTGTAAGAGGATGAGCAAAGAGTCCTTAAAACCTACATCTTGCTAGCTTCAACTCAAGCCTGTTTACGGCAACAAAGGAAAACATACTTCTGCTGCCAGAAAAGAAAAAAGTCAATCAAAAACTCTTACCATCTGTGAAGCAAATTAATTATGAAAGAAGACAGAGCCTACAATCTGAGCTACTCTTATTTCTTGTTCAAATCTAAACTTTATTCTTGTTTCCTCCTCTGTAAAATGGAGATACTAACATCAACTCTTCCTTAAAGAGTACTTGTAAGAATAAAAAAAAAAAAAAAAAAAAAAGCCAGCCCAGGGCTGGGAAGGTGGCTCAGTGGTAGAGCTCTTGCCTTGCATGCATGAGGCCCTGGGTTCAATTCCCCAGCACCACATAAGCAAAAAGAAAAAAGCCGGAAGTGGTGCTGTGGCTCAAGTGGTAGAGCGCTAGCCTTGAGCTGAAGAGCTGAGGGACAGTGCCCAGGCCCAGAGTTCAGGCCCCATGACTGGACCAAAAAAAAAAAAAAAAAAGCCAGCCCAGGCAGAAAAGTCCCCAAGAGACTCATCTCCAATTAACCACAAAAAATCAGAGGTGGCGCTGTGGCTCAAGGGGTAGGGTGCTGGCCTTGATCAAAAGAGCTCAGGCCAGCATCCAGGCCCTGGATTCAAGCCCCACAACTGACAACAAACAAACAAACAAACACATTTTAAGTGCTCCACCTATGCTATAAAGCTTTAAACTATGTATTATGTTGTTTAAAGTTGTACTTATACTTCCAGCTAAGTGGGGTGCCAGTGTCTCACGCTTTAATAGTTGCTAATTAGGAGGCTGAGGTCTGGAGGATCCTGGTTTAAAGTCCAAGCGGTACTATCTCCAAAATAACCAGCAAAAAGCTGGTTTAAACACATGCTCAAGTGACAGAATACAAGCGGAGCTAGCATAAGACCCTGAGTTCAAACTCCAGTATGAAGGGAAAAAACCTGCCTAAAACAAGGCTCTAAAATACTTTTTCTTTCTTTTTTTTTCCTGTTGGTTGAGGGGCTTGAACTCAGAGCCTGGGCACTGTCTCGAGCTCTTTTTACTCAGGCTAGTGCTCTACCACTTTGAGCCACAGCACCACTTCCAGTTTTCTGGTGGGTAATTGGAGATAAGTCTCATGGACTTTCTTGCCCAGGCTGGCTTTGAATTGTGATCCTCAGATCTTAGCCTTACAGGCGTGAGCCACCAGCACTGGACGCTCTAAATAATTTTTATGTAGTTCATTCATAGAATGCTTGCCTACCATGAGGCCCTGGGTTCAATTCCCAGAACCATACAAATGTTACAAGTCAGATTGTTCTGTCCCTGCAGGTGAAAAAGGTTTAAAAAAAAAAAAAAAGAGACCAGTTCCAACAGATAATTTCCCCCTAATTCTTATCTTCCTCCAATGCCCATCAAAATGTCTGCTTAAAATACATTCTCCTCTCTCACACACAAATACATCCCTCCCCCTGCCTCTCTCTTTCTCACACACACACGCAGACATTCCCTCTCTCTCACAGAC